GATTTCTTTCAGGATCCTGCCTCAAATAATTGTCACTGGCTTTTTACAAAGAAAACTAGGACTCCCATTTATTTTATCTAATTCAACTCTGACAACAGCATGCAGTGCATGATCCTCTAACAGGAACACTAGCAGAATGGAGCCTGACTGTTTTCCATGAGGCTGATTTTTGCTGATCAAACACATTTATTCTCTGAAACACCTTCAGTGCCTGTTGAGAAATAAGTGGTCCAGAAAGGCAGTATCTCCCAATATGTAACTTTAAAATGTACAGAAAATAGGTAATATTAAGGTCTTCACATGAAAACAACTCAACAACTTGCAGAGGGACAGTAGGACCATTTTGTAGTAGTACCCAGATATAAACTACACACACCCTTCCACCTAAAACTTCTGTTGTAGGATTCTATCTCACAGGCATACTCACACCTGGGAGCAAAGGCATATGAATGGCATTACTTACTGAATCACATGTAAGAGCCATATGAACTGACAAAAAGAGACGCGCTATATATTGTGATGTGATAAAAGTAAATTGCCAAACAATATGTAATATAAGATTCCATTTTTGTTAAAAAAAAATAACCCACACTATATGTGTGTAGATGCATATACCTATATAAACATTCAGAGATATAAAGAAAAAGTCCGGAAAGATACCAACACTAAACTGTTAACAGTGGATCCTTCCTCTAGAGAGTAAAATTGGGGGAATTTCATTTTTCACTTAATAAATATTAGCATTACTTAAATTTATTTAAAAAAACTATAAGGGAAATAACTGGATTAAAATAAGGTAGCTAACATCTACAGAGTATTTGTTCTGTGCTGGGTATGTGATGGACACTTTGTATATCACCTCACTTATTCTGTAAACCTTCTGCAGTAGATAATAATATCCCTGTTCACAGGTGAGAAAACAGATTCTGAGAAGTGAGTAATTTGCCCAAGGTAATAGGATTAGTAAGTAGCAGAGCTGGAATTCAAACCCAGAATTTCCTAACTTCAAGGCCCAAGATCTTCCCATGGGTCCCAACAATGCCATCCCCTGTGACATAGTCGTGGCTCAGCAGATGGCCTTACTAACACTGCCACATGGCTGCTGGAATGCTAGGCTTTTTCTTTAAAACTTTTTATTATGGAAATTTTCAAACATACAAAAGGGGAAGGAACACTATAATGAATCCATGTAACTGTTATCATTGAGTCAACAATTATTAATATTCTGCATCACTGTTTCATTTACCTCAAGTCCCACTTTTAGGAAGCATTTTAATGCAAATGTAATACATCATATCATTTCACCATAAGCATTTCAATCTCTAAAAATAAGGACTCAAAAAAAAAAACCATAATAGTGTGCTATAAATCAACTATACTTCAATAACTAATATAAAATAAAGTAAAATAAAATAAACTTTAGGAAAAAAACTTAATGGTGTGATAAATACCATTATCACACATAATACAGTTAACACTAATTCCTTAATATCAATACCCAATCCATGTAAATTTCCCTAGATTGTTTCAAAAATATCTTTTTTTATTTATTCAAATTTTTGTCTCTGTGAATTCTCACTGTTCCCCTCCTTATTTCTTCATACTACTTATTTATTGAAGAAATTGAGTCATTTGTCTTATAGAATTCCCCATCTTCCTCACTTGATTTCTCATACCCTAGTGGGGTCATTTAACAGGCTTCTCTTTCCTTTGTATTTCTCATAACATGGTGGTTAGAGGCTTGTTAAACTCAGGTTCAGTTCTTTTGGTGAAATTATTTCTCAAGTGGTGATGTGATTTCCTATTGCATCTTATCAGGAGGCATTAATGTCCAACTGTCCCATTTTTAATAAATGCTAAGGGTAAACAGGGGGCTCAGGGGTTGCCAGCCTGATACATCTGTTATGAAGTTCCTCACCAACATTTTACCTAATAGTTTTAGCAGCCATTGATGATTTTTTGCCTAGATCCATTATTTCATTACGAGCTTAGATTCATTTAAAATCCTATAAGACTTAGGTATTTTTAAAAACCACCCTAAGATCGCAATAGTGTATCTTAGCTTTGAAGCAAGGTATCCAAAAAATCTCCTTTTATCTATTATCTATCACGATTTTGTTTGTTTTTGGATTTTTTTTTTTTTACAAGAGTAATTGAGTTTTTAGCCTTATTTTCCTAAGACCATCAGTATTCCACAACCCTCTATGCCCCATGTGGGACCATTTTGCTACTTAGATTGTCATTTTTACTAACCAGTTATTTGGAATTTTTATCTATGCTTCAATTCCCAAATAATTCATTAAAAGTAAGAAGAAAAAGAAAAGATCTCCTGTTTCTCTATAATAAATGCCACAGTAAGCCAGTTAAACATCTCAATCATTTTCAATTTCACACCCAGGGTAACTACCTTTCACATTACAAAAGGCTGTTAATTTCAGTGATTTTAAGTCTGTTCTTATTCATTTTACATTCATTGTGATGTCTTTCCTGAGCCCAGTTTTGAGGCTAAAGAGAAGGCCCAGGCCCTGTCTTCCAAAGATTCACAATCATCTACATTGATAAAATAAATGTCTAGACAGTTCCTGGGGTATAGGAAAGAGGCACCCCAGACTCTGAAGTCAGGGAAGCTTCTCAAAGGAGATCTTTAACTGAGTTTTGAAGGACAAGTGGAAAGTAACTAGGGGAAGGGCATTCCAGAAAAAGAAAAGCCATACAAAGGCACAGAGGCAGGAAAGAATGGGCCCTTTCAGAGCACTGCACATGGTCTTGTACGGCTGGAGAGCGAGTTTTATAAGGAGGGGTAGCTGTGGTGAAGCAGCAGCACGGCCAGGACGGGAAGAGCCTTGTCTGCCATGCTGAAGAGTAAGGAAGTCCCTGGCGGACTGTACACAGAAGGGTGACAGAGTCTGATTGCTGCTGTATGTTTTTTCCCTCGGTAGATTTTTTTTTTCTTTTTTCTCTATAGAGGTGAAAATCACATAAAATAAAATTAATCATTTAAAATGAACAACTCAGTGGCCTTTAGCACATTCACAGTGCCATACAACCGCTACCTTTACTAGTTCTAAAACATTTTCATCTCCCCAAAAAGAAACCCGTACCCATTAAGCAGTCAGT